TGTGGTGAGTCTGCGGAACCGATTGGTTGTCGTTCTCGTCATTCAACGACTTATTCTTCTTCTTCAGACAGTAATTATGGGACGAATTCAGTGTCCGTTTCAGCGGTTTATTAGCGTTTGGGTCAACAGTTTGGTTCACATTTGAGATGTTTGTGAGCGCTCTCTTCACCACAGTTGCCATCATTGTCTCAATTATCAGATCCTCCACTCAATGCTATGTTAACAGTAATAATGACTTTCAATTTGATGTAAATTTTGTATAAATGATAAAACATTTAAATAATGGCAACAATTGGATAAATGACTGAACGAGTGGTCAGTGTATTAACGGCTCATTCACTCAATTGCTTGCATTCAACAGTCATTTAAATTGAATGCATTTTGCGGACAATAAGCTCATAAAAGTAATGCAAATATCAAGCACACAGAAATACCTACCAATTAATGACTAATACAATACAATATGATTTAAAATCAGTGTTCAATCAGTGAATAAGAAATGAATAAATACTAAAACAATTGAATACAAAGGGATTGAAAGTGGAGACCAACTCAGAGACAATTAAATGTCGTTTTCAAGTAATGTTCAAAATATATGAAAACTTTAACTTTAAACTCAAACGCACTCCCATTGGTCGACACGTCTGCCAATGGGTGTCAACGTGTGAGTCAATCAATGCATTTCAGTGAAGGTGTGTTTGTGTGCCATCTGTTGGTCCCTCCCATAGACTCAATGATTGCGACAATAATTGACAATTAATTTCATAACAAATCATTTGAAATCAAGTCTTCAATAATGTCACTGATTATCAAGTTTGCAGAGCTTTTGACACCAGTTCTTAAGGTAACCATTCATTTGTTGCATACATTGAGTCGATTTTAATGATATTTATGACGACAGGAATCCAAGTTCAAAGAGACTGGAGTTTTGACCCCCGAAGAGGTGTGTAATGAATGGTAACAAATGATAGCTAATAACTAATTGTGTGTTAATTGGTGGACAGTTTGTGATCGCTGGTGACCAACTGGTGCATCAGTGCCCCACATGGAAGTGGGCCACCGGTGATGAGTCCAAGTGTAGGGAATATCTGCCGAAAGACAAGCAATTTCTGGTCACAAGAAATGGTAATTAAAGGATTGAATTGCGTTTAACACTAACATTGTGTCTATTGTTTGATCCATTAGTTCCGTGCTTTAAGAGATGCAAAGACATCGAGTATTTGGAGGAACAGGAGAAGATCATAGATAAGGAGGACGGGGACGGCGGTTGGGTAGACACCCATCACTTCGCCAACACTACCGAACAGGTCCTCGAAATGACACTTTCGGCCAAAGATGGCAATAAATGCCCCGAAAAGTCAACGGTTGTGGCGAACGCTACCGAAGATTGCGATGAAGACGAAGACGACGGCGAAGCGGAAGATATGGAGAACTATTTGGCGTCCGGACTCATGGATGACGCCGACGAGGTATTGCTGACCAACTGTGCCATCGATGGCTTGAAATCCATATTGAATTCGTTTGTTAGGCGACTGTCGATGCAAATGAACTGAAAGCCAGTGCTTCCGCCAAAAGCGATGACCCGTTGGAGTCGGACATCGTGCCGACGCGTACTTATGACCTGAACATCACTTACGATAAGTACTATCAGACGCCACGACTCTGGCTCTGCGGTTACGACGAGAACCAGAAACCGCTTTCCATTGAACAGATGTACGAAGACATTAGGTATGACTCGACACTCAATGCAATATAAATTTGTGTTTTATATGACTGTATGCCTGTATATGACAGTCAGGATCACGCCAAGAAGACAGTCACTATGGAAACACATCCACATATTCCGGGCGGACCCATGGCCTCTGTGCACCCCTGCAGGTCTGTCCCAATGTTTGCCCTTTTCATGATCTATCCATTCTGTCATTTACTTCTTTACTCTCATTTGTTGTTTCTATGAATGAAAATGTTATTAGAGTTAAGGTAATAAAGAAACAATGTTTTCATAGTTTATTTCCGACTCTAATGTTTAAGGTTACGATAGTTCAGAAAATCCTCTCAACTACTGTACCTTTCCCTCTTACCGTAATTGTTATGTACAGAAATCCTATTTTCATTTGGTGTGCTTTATGAAAACCAATTACTCTATTATACATTTAATTAATTAATTTAATGACTTATTATAAGTTATAACTTACTATTAGTGAATCTAATTTGTATAACCCCTTTGTACCCTAGTACACTAACTTACGTAAACCATACAAAGGAATTAATACGAATAAAAACCAGATTGAGTAACACTAATGATAATAGTCAATTACTACCATTACAATAATCATTTGATACATTCAATTAGATTATAAATATTGGATTTGTTTTGGCTTTAACTGTAGGACATCTGCTAATACTAAATTGCAATAAGATTTTAAGCTATTAATCTTTTTTACGAACTTAAGTTTGAAATATATTTTCTATTGTTTCTCTAAAATATTGATTTACCGCTAATTGAATTCAATAATTTTATTAATGCTTTAAAACCAGTTTTCACAATCTCTTGAAGTGAATCCATAAATCTAATGATCAATATTTAGACAAAAATTTTCTATAAATAAATGATTTGGAAAACAGAATTCGACCTAAAATTGAGAATTAATTTGTTGATTGAAAACTGAATACAAAATTGTCTCAACTCTTTGTCAGACACGCGGAGGTCATGAAGAAGATTATACAGACGGTGGAAGAGGGCGGACGAGACCTACCGGTGCACAGCTATCTCATAGTGTTTCTTAAGTTTGTTCAGGCGGTCATTCCCACCATTGAATACGATTACACGCAAAATTTCACCATGTAGCAATGTTATCGATATTTTATATTTGATTCCGAGTTTATTTTATATAATATTATAATATTTAAATAATTATAATATTTGCAAATTCGTATGAAATGAATACAATTATGAAAATGATTTCTTAATATTTTAATTAATAAGATTTTTAATAATAAATTATTTAATAAAATGTAAAGTATTTTCCGAAAGTGTNCTTTAAACTGATTCTTGTTATCCTTCATAACAGTAATCAAATCGGAATATCCGTCGCCATCAATATCTCCGTGCCTTAAAGTTATGGGAAGTTTTTGCCCAAAAACAGAGACCTCAGCGAATGTAAGAGCCGATTGATTACCGATATTGATATCAGAGATAGGAATCCACTGTTTGTCGTCTAAATGATAGCCCAGTATTTGTGGGTCTTTGCACTCATTGTCATTTGAATTGAATTCATTGCTACAAACGGCCAAAATGTGATCAATGAGTCCATCGGTGTTGATGTCCACGAAAGCCGATTGTCCCAAATGTTTGTACTTATCTGGGGGATAGGGATGGGTAACCATTTCAAGCTTTGGGAAGCCCTTATCGTTGTGCCAGTACTCCATGGTTTTTGCGCCACTGATGAATATATCTGCCGTGAGGTCTGAGTTGTAATGATTTAAATTGATGAAAGCGTTGGAGTGCGGGAAACGCATCCCTTGACTGTCCTTAAAATCGGGCGGACAGTCCGTTTGCCAACCCTTCGCAACCGTTTGCCCGATCCACAGCTGACGGACACAGGCGTCGGTCTGGACGATGAAGTCTGCGATCATATCTCCGTTATAGTCGACTACAAAGGGATGGCTTTTGGCGCCGGAGACCAACGGTTTGCTCGCATTGCTTACACAATCCAATTGAGAGCCATTGCCTCTCATGTGCCAGATATTGAACTTCTTGTCACTGGATTTGTTGGATGTGATCACCAGCACATCCATCAACGCTCGACCCGAAAAGTCTGCGGGAATCACGCCCACTATTGTCTCATCGGTACCACTAAAGGAGCACTTCTTAACGGATGTCCACTTCCTGAGCACCGGTTCCGTGAGGTGTCCCTTCAACAGCTCCAATGACTTGCCCTCATCGGTGATAATGAAGACATCCGGCAGTTTGTCCGAATCAAAGTCACCGAAGCCTGCGATCAGGCCATCGATATTGTCTTCAATGAGTCGCTCTTTGGAACAATTGATTGCATTCGAGATAATTGTCATTAAAACCAAAACCACATAAATAGTCTTCATATTTGGTGTTCATTTACATTGACATCAATATTATATATAAACACAAATCAATTGAATTGTTTTGACACAAAATGACAATAAATAGCAATAATTCGTCACTCAATACGACTATTGGACGACATTTGCTATGATTTGTCACACAATCACACAATCACTCACTCCTTGCTATCATATCTAATGGTATGACAAATGTTTCAATCATTCATTGTTTCCATACATTAATAACACATTTGCATCACTTCTTCACAACTCTTACATTTAATTCTTATTCAATACGAAGAGTACTATAATATAATATAATTATAATAATTGTACTGGATAATATTGGCAATAATTGTGACGATTAAGTGGCAATCAATAAATTGTTGCCTGCTCACACAAACATTGCATAATTGTTTGGCTATATTGGTAATACTGTGTGAGTGACTCAATCATAGATGTCATGCTTTCATTTGACATATCAATTTTCATTGCCAACTTGAACTCAACTGAACAATACAGTCATTTCAATTGATCATTGACGTTTCATATTAATACAGTAATATTTATATAATTTATGTACACCTGGACATAGGGTTGTATACCGTAGGTAACGGCTAGTCTTATATTACGGTATATCTTCAGCTAACTCATCGATGTAAGCGTCTGCCAACAACTGAAAAACTGTTGTTAACTTTAAACATATAAATACAGTATATTAATAATTTAATGTAACAGTAATCGGCAAAAAAAACTCTCGAACTTATTTTACTGTAGTGAAAACCTGGATGAGAACTTTAATCGATTAATCAATTAATTCTAGCTTACAATTGTTTGACTAGCTAACATATTTTACTGCTAATACCGTATGTGAATCATATAAAGTTAATGTCATAAAATCTAATTTTTAATTGAATACACAAATCACAAAATGCTTTATTAAATTCATTCACAAATGCTTTATTAAATTCATTCACAAATGCTTTATTAAATTCATTCACAAATTGCATTCAACATAAAATTAAATAAAATTGAGTTTATTATAATACCGTAAATTAAACTTAAAATGTTTGCTTTCATAAAAAATAATTGATTAAAAGATTTTAGAATTAGTCACACATGATAGCAATGGTTGAGCGGATCTGATACTAGACTTTAAGTGGTTTACTGCGAGGGAGGGCCGAGATCTTGGCGACTTCGAAGAATATCCTATATTTCACACATCAAAGAGATATTGATTTAAAAATAAAATCATTTTATGAGATGGTATGGACTCACTCGTGAGAATATTTGGTTCTTATAGTTTTGCATTTGGTTTGCGTCAACAGTAGTTCATTCAAGCGATACATAAGGATTGTTAGATCACACTCTTTATATCCAGAATAATACTCAAGAGTTTCACTCTTTCATCACAAAAAACATTCATAATAATTAGACATAAAACAAATGACAACTCTTTATGTCTATAAATACCCATTCATTCTCTCCTTTCATGCGAAGAGCCAACAGAAGGGCGGCGGCGGCCACACGAGAGTCCGCCTCTTCTATGATCTCATACTCCATGAG